TCTTAACTTGTGTTTGTGTATGTGTATACACATAAACATACTCCAGTTGTTTTTAGCACCATCGGATCCTCTGAAGATGACAGCCACAAATGCAGGTGAAATGTCAGGAGAAAATGCTGCTAGAACAAGGCCATACAGTCTGGAAGCCACTGAAAACTGCAGTGGAATATGTTGCTTTGGAGTCTGGTGGAGTCTCTGTTTCTGGACCTTTCGAAGCAGAGGCTGGATGGCCATCTGTCGGGAGGACTTGAATTGTGTCTTCCTTCACAGCAGAATGGGATACTCAAAGGCTTTCATGGCTGGAATCAGTGGGTTGTTGTAGGTTTTTCGGGCTATATGGCCATGTTCTGGAAGCATTCTCTCCTGACGTTTCACCTGCATCTATGGCAGGCATCCTCAGAGGTTGTGAGGTCAGACCTCATAACCTTTGAGGATGCCTGCCATAGATGCAGGCGAAACGTCAGGAGAGAATGCTTCCAGAACATGGCCATATAGCCCGAAAAACCTGCAACAACCCAGAATTGGATAGGACTGGAAGGAAGACTGGAAGGTTGCTATTGACTATGTAATGCTCCAGTGATTACGCTCCCTTTTAAGAATTTCTGTCCTTTCTTCTCTTCTTCCAAAGAGGAGGAGAAACCTGGAAGAGGGGCATAATATTGAACAGCTGGTGCTTTAGCTGCTCCATTGGGCAATTGCTTTGCAGCCTTAGGGCTGCAGTGTGTGCGTGTGTGTGTTTCATGTGTGTATATCTCATTTGCCCTCTTTTCCTCCCAGTCCTTTCTATCTCTTTCCATCATAAAGGAACAAAAGGGAAGGTAGAAGAGAGAGAGAGAAAGTAATCAGTTTCAGGGAGGTTGTTTCGCAAAGGGATGGAGAGTGAGCCAGGGTGCATCTAGGTTAAAAGTAAAGGTTAAGTCCAGCTGTGTCCAACTCTGGGGGTTGAAGAGCCAGCGTTGTCCGTAGACACCTCCAAGGTCATGTGGATGGCATCACTACATGGAGCGCCATTACCTTCCCACTGGAGTGGTACCTATTGATCTACTCACATTGCATGTTTTTGAGCTGCTAGGTTGGCAGGAGCTGAGGCTAACAGTGGGAGCTCACCCCACTCTCTGGATTCGAACCTGCGACCTTTCGATCAGCAGTTTAGAAGTTTAACTCACGGGTGCTCCTAGGGTGCATCTACACTGCATTAAAATCACTACTGACCGAAAGGTCATGAGTTTGAAGCCAGCCTGGGTCGGATTAAGCTCCTGACCATTCGTCTAGCTTGCTGTCGACCTTTGCAACCCGAAAGACAGTTGCATCTGTCAAGTAGGAAATTTAGGTACCGCTTATGCAGAGAGGCATTGTTTGTGGTCCAAGTTTAGTCTAGATCCAGTGTTAGCTGGGTTCAGTGAGTGCGTGTGAAGTATAGCTTCATGGTCCAGCCTTCTCCAAACCACATCAAAATGTCATGGGGACTCTGGTGCCAAGTTAGGTCTTAATCAGTCATAGGCATGGGTCACAATGGTCTTAGGAAGTGAGTGAAGCTACTGCAATCATCCCTGGTCCATTGGCCCACAAACCCCACCCAGATGTAGAGTGGGTCAGGGGGGCTCTGTGTGCCAAGTTCGCTCTTGATCAGTCATTGGTGTGGGTTGTAGTGGTCTCAGGAAGTGAGTGAAAGTACTTCAAGTCCCATCATCCATTGTGTGCCCTCCTACAAAGTGCACCAGGATGTAGAATGGGTCATGAGTGCTCTGTGTGCCAAGTTTGGTCCTGGTCTGTGATTTGTAGGGGCCACAGTGTTCTGTGGGAAGTGAATTGGGTGAAGCTATTGCAAATCCCATCATCCATGGTCCATCCTGCCCCAAAACGCACCAGGTTGTAAAGTGGGCAATTGGGGCTCTGTGTGTCAAGTTTGGTCCTGATCCATCATTGGTGTGGGTCACAGTGCTCTAAGGAAGTGAATGAAGGTACTACAAGTTCCATCATCCATGGTCCATCTTCCAAACTGCATCAGGACTTAAAGTGGGTCATGGGGGGGGGGGGGCTGTGTGCCAAGTTTGGTCCTGTTCTGTCATTGTTGGGGGCCAAAGTGGTCTGTTGGAACAGAAGCATTTGAAAGTACTGCAAATCCCATCATTTATTTATTTATTTACAGTATTTATATTCCGCCCTTCTCACTCCGTAGGGGACTCAGGGCGGATTACAATGTACACATATATGGCAAACATTCAATGCCAAAGACACACAACAGATATAGACAGACACTTAGAGGCTATTTAACTTTTTCTGGCAGGCAGGGGAGCTGTCGCTTTCATCATCCATCTGCGACACTGATGAAGTACTTCCGCATTCCCCACATGCTTTTGCTGGAGTGCTTTTGCTGGAGTCTTTTCTATGGCCTCATAAATTAGTTAAATTAGCCTCCCCACACATAGGTGGTACCTAATTTTCCTACTCGACGGATGCAACTGTCTTTCGGGTTGCAAAGGTCGACAGCAAGCTACACAATTGGTCGGAAAGCTCACTCCGACCTGGGCTGGCTTTGAACTCGAGACCTTTGGGTCAGAAGTGATCTTAATGCAGCTGGCACTCAGCCAGCTGCACCACATCATCCGTTGTCCATCCTCCCCCAAACCTCACCAGGATGTAAAGGGGCTCATGGGGGTTATGTGTGTCAAGTTTGGTCCAGGTCCTTCACCCGTGCTGGTTGCAGTGGTCTGTGAAAGTGGCACCCAATCAGAAAGCTGCCACATATAAACATTCACTTTTATTATATAGACTAGCCGTCCCCTGCCACGCATTGCTGTGACCCAGTCTGGTGATCTGCAAAATAAAGTAATTAGAAAGTGTTTCCAATATATGCAATTCTTTATGCTTGTGGGTAAACAATATTTCTTGCTGTTTCTATGTCAGTGTTAATGTGGTGATTGTCTGGTTTGCCTACTCTGGAACATACAATATATCACTGTCCTTTTCTAGGGGTCCCTTTCAAATCTATGATATTATCTCTCTCTCTCTGTGTGTGTGTGAATCATATATATATCTATCTATATCTATGGCTGGATGGCTCTTTGTCAGGACGGCTTTGATTACGTTTTCTTGCTCTGGTGAAGGGAATTGGACTGGATGGCCTTAAGTATTTTCTGTTGGTCATGGGGATTCTGTGTGGGAAATTTACCCCAATTCTGTCGTTGGTGGGGTTCAGAATGCTCTTTGATTGTAGGTGAACTATAAACCCCAGCAACTACAACTCCCAAATGTCAAGTTTCTATTTTCCCCAAACTCCACCAGTGTTCACATTTGGGCATGTTGAGTATTCTTGTAGAGTTTGGTCCAGATCCATCATTGTTTGACGCCACAGTGATCTCTTGATGTAGGTGAACTACAACTCCAAAACCAAAGGACACTGCCCACCAAACCCTCCCAGGATTTTCTGTGGGTCATGGGAGAACTGTGTACCAAGTTTGGCTCAATTCCATCATTGGTGGGGTTCCGAATGTTCTTTTATTGTAGGTGAACTATAAATCCCAGCAACTACAACTCCCAAATGACAAAATCAATTTTTTTTTAGTGAAGGACATCCATTGGGTTGTTAGGTGTCTTGTGTCCAAATTTGGTGTCAATTCGTCCAGTGGTTTTGAGTTCTGTTAATCCCACAAACGAACATTACATTTTTATTTATATAGATAGATATAGATTTATTATACGTTCAAAACAGCTGGAAGGCCGAAGACTGGCCATTCCTGTAATAAATTGACTTGAACGCACCTAGATACATGCAAAGAACATTGTCGTCAGTATGATGACAACGTCGTCTATGCGCATTCAGAAGAAGATCTACAAGCCACTCTAAACACCTTCGCAGAGGCATACAAGAAGCTTGTACTGTCATTGAACATTGAAATAACCAAAGTGCTGTTCCAGCAGACACCAGCCATCACCTCTCCTATGCCAGAGATACAGCTTAATGGTGTAACATTAGAAAATGTTGATCATTTCCGCTACCTTGGCAGCCCCCTCTCCACCAAAGTCAACATCAACACCGAAAAACAACACTGCCTGAGCTCTGCAAGTGCAGCATTTTTCCGAATGAAGCAGAGAGTGTTTGAGGACCGGGACATCCGTAGAGATACCAAGGTGCTTGTTTATAAAGCTATTGTCCTTCCAACCCTGCTATATGCCTGTGAGACGTGGACTGTCTACAGACGTCACATGCAACTTCTGGAACGATTCCATCAGCGCTGCCTCCGGAAAATCCTGCAGATCTCTTGGGAAGACAAGCGGACAAATGTCAGCATGCTGGAAGAAGCAAAGACAACCAGCACTGAAGCTATGGTCCTCTGCCACCAACTCCACTGGACCGGCCACGTTGTCCGGATGCCCGACCACTGTCTCCCTAAGCAGTTGCTCTACTCTGAACTCAAGAACGGAAAACGGAATGTTGGAGGACAGGAAAAGAGATTTAAAAATGGGCTCAAAGTCAACCTTAAAAACTCTGGCATAGACACTGAGAACTGGGAAGCCCTGGCCCTTGAGCGCTCCAGCTGGAGGTCAGCTGTGACCAGCAGTGCTGCAGAATTTGGAGGGCGAAAGGGAGAAACGTCTCAAGAGGAAGGCGCGTCAAGCCAACCCCTACTGAGACCGCCTTCCACCTGGAAACCAATGCCCTCACTGAGAGCAAGAATAGGGCTCCACAGCCACATACGGACCCACAAGAATACTGGAAGACAATCCTCCTCGGAAAGCAGAGGGATCGCCTAAGTAAGTAAGTACATGCAAAGACATGACCTTGATGTCCTTCTCCTCCCAAATACTGCAGCCTGGAGCTTTCCAGAGCATGGGAAAAGTGCCCTTGATTGCATTAACTCTATGCACAATGCAGATGCACCTGCATCCAAGGCTAGGTTGGACCCCAAAGACCTGCAGAGCCGCGTGGTGCTGAATGGACAGCGACTTCCTTTCTGCAGCCACGCCTCGCTGCTGTTGCAATGCCCGGATCCGTCGGCAGAGGGCAGGCCATCGCAGGTCTTGAGCCTCATCTCCTCCTAAGAGGAGGAGGAGGAGGAAGAGGAGGAGGAGGAAGAAGAAGGCTCTCTGGATGTCCCTGGCCAGGCAGCATGCGCCCCGAGGCAGCCAAGAAGAAGGCAAGGAGGGCCAGGGAAGGTAGGTCTCCCTCACTACTGTGTGTGTGATGAGAAGGGATGGCGATGTTGGGTATGGAGGGGAGGAGGAGGAGGAAGCATGGAGAAGGGAGCAGCCATGAAGTCATCCTCCTGCCTGGCTCCAGGGGATGCTCCCCACCCGCTTCCTATGCAACCTTGCTCATCCCTGCAGGGTGGGAGGAGGAAAGAGGGTGGGCATTCGCTCCCTGCAATCCCAAGGGGGTTGGACTGCAGTCCCCATCGTCCCCAGGCCATCATCTTAAGGAGGATGGGTGGTGGAGTCCCTTGCCCCCAAAGAGGAGGATTCCTGCAGGGCTTAGCAATTGGGGATGTGGGAAAAGCTCTCCTGTTGTGGATGGATAGGTGAGATAGTACTGCTGCAGCTCATGGATCACATTCACGGCCCTCCATGACATTTTGACATGGGGAGAGGGGGTAAGATATAATAAATAATAATAATAATTTTAAAAAACTTTATTTTTACCCCAGCACCATCTCCCCAAGGGACTCGGAGCGGCTTACATGAGGCCAAGCCCAACAACAACATATAAATAAAGCTTATTATTATTGTATTGTCGAAGGCTTTCATGGCTGGAATCACTAAGTTCTTGTGGGTTTTTTCGGGCTATATGGCCATGTTGTAGAGGCATTTCTTCTGATGTTTTGCCTGCATCTATGGCAAGCATCCTATGCTTGCCATAGATGCAGGCGAAACGTCAGGAGAAATGCCTCTACAACATGGCCATATAGCCCGAAAAAACCCACAAGAACTTACTTCTTCTTCTTCTTCTTCTTCTTCTTCTTCTTCTTATTATTATTATTATTATTTGAAACACAACAAGATGAGTACGCAGCAAACAAGATCACTATGATTGCTGTTGTATTGGATCCTTCTTTGGAAGCTTTTAAACAGAGGCTGGTTGGCCATCTGTCAGGGGTGCTTTGAATGCAATATTCCTGCTTCTTGGCAGAATGGGGTTGGACTGGATGTCTCATGAGGTCTCTTCCAACTCTATGATTCTACATGTCAGGACACTAAGGTCTAGGACTGTATGATGTATCGGCAAACACTGCATGCAGATCCGAGTAGGGTTGCCATTTGCAGCTGACAGATGGTAATTTTGTCAGCGCTGATTGTGCTTAAGTGCAGGCCAAGGTCTTTAGGCACTGCACCCAGTGTATCGATCACCGCTGGGACCACCTTCACTGGCTTGTGCCAGAGTCTTTGCAATTTGATCTTTAAATCCTATTATTGTTATTATTATTGTTATTATTTGAAACACAGCAAGATGAGTCCACCGCAAACAAGGTCACTCTACAGACCATTGGATCACATGTCGGACACTTCCCAAGTATCTAGGAATATGTGATGTATTGGCGAATAATGTGTGCAGATCCAAGTAGGGTTGCCATTTGCAGCTGACAGATGGTAATTTTGTCAGCGCTGATTGTGCTTAAGTGCAGGCCAAGGTCTTTAGGCACTGCACCCAGTGTACCAATCACCGCTGGGACCACCTTCACTGGCTTGTGCCAGAGTCTTTGCAGTTTGATCTTTAAATCCTATTATTATTATTATTACTATTATTATTACAATTATTTGAAACACAACAAGATGAGTACACAGCAAACAAGTTCACTCTGCTGGCTATTGCATTGGATTACACATTGGACACTTCCCAAGTGTCTAGGACTATGTGATGTATTGGTGAATAATGTGTGCAGATCGGAGTAGGGTTGCCATTTGCATCTGACAGATGGTAATTTTGTCAGCGCTGATTGTGCTTAAGTGCAGGCCAAGGTCTTTAGGCACTGCACCCAGTGTACCAATCACTGCTGGGACCACCTTCACTGGCTTGTGCCAGAGTCTTTGCAGATTGATCTTTAAATGCTATTATTATTATTATTATTATTATTATTATTATTATTATTATTATTATTTGAAACACAATAAGATGAGTACGCGGCAAACAAGATCACTATGGCGGCTGTTGTATTGGATCCTTTTTGGAAGCTTTTAAACAGAGGCTGGATGGCCATCTGTCAGGGGTGCTTTGAATGCAATTTTCCTGCTTCTTGGCAGAATGGGGTTGGACTGGATGGTTCATGAGGTCTCTTCCAACTCTGTGATTCTATGATTCTACATCTCAGGACACTTTTCAAAGGTCTAGGACTGTATGATGCATTGGTGAACACTGCATGCAGATCTGAGTAGGGTTGCCATTTGCAGCTGGCAGATGGTCATTTTATCAGTGCTGATTGTGCTTAAGTGCAGGCCAAGGTCTTGAGGCACTGCACCCGGTGTGCCGATCACCACTGGGACCACCTTCACTGGCTTGTGCCAAAATCTTTACAGTTCAATCTTTAAATCCTCATATTGTATCAGCTTTTCACTTCACTCCTGCAAAGACTCTGGCACAACCATAAGGTGGATGTGACCCTTCATGAAAATGAGTTTGACACTCCTGCCAATTTGTGTGTGTGTGTGTGTGTGGAGCTTCCCTGGGTTTCCATTAGTTTCCTGAGTGATTTGGATCAAGACCATACTTCATATCTCCCCAAAGGGACACAGCATGAATTGAGGCCAGGAAACACATTTCAAAGATATTCAAAAGTTTTATTGTCAAAGGCTTTCATGGCCGGAATCACTGGGTTGTTGTAGGTTTTTTCAGACTATATGGCCATGTTCTAGAGTAGTGGTTCTCAACCTGGGGTCCCCAGATGTTTTTGGCCTACAACTCCCAGAAATCCCAGCCAGTTTACCAGCTGTTAGGATTTCTGGGAGTTGAAGGCCAAAAACATCTGGGGACCCCAGGTTGAGAACCACTGTTCTAGAGGCATTCTCTCCTGACATTTCTCCTGCATCTATGGCAAGCATCCTCAGAGGTAGTGAGGTATTCAAAAGTTTTAATTGAAATATATTTCAACAAAGTTGTAAGCCTCAGCTCCTGCCCACCTAACAGTTCAAAAACATGCAAATGTGAGTAGATCAATAGATAACGGTGCGCCGTGCAATCATGCTGGCCACATGACCTTGGAGGTGTCTATGGACAACACCGGCTCTTTGGCTTAGAAATGGGGATAAACACCACCCCCAAGAGTCGAACTCAACTAGACTTAATGTCAAGGGGAAACCTTTATCTTCACCTTATCCCAAAGGATCTGGTGGCCTGCAGTGTCCAGAGGTGGACGGAGAGAAGAAGCAACTGGGTGGTGATGCTATGGGGTCATAGTGGTGTGGAGTATCATACTTGCTGCCAGGATAGAAACCAATGTGTGTGTCTCATGTGTGAATGATGAGCTGAGTGAAAAAGCCAACCATGTGCCAAGATCTGTCCAAAGGTCATGCATTTATGTGGCTTTCCGTGAGTACCGAGAGCCCAGTCCTGGGCGTCTTTGCTCATATTGGATTTCAGCCACTGTTGTTCTTATGCGCCTTCAATCCACGTCAGTTCATGACAAGTGCATGAATGGGAGACCTTCAAGAAATCATCCGCAACCCTATCAGCATGTCTTGCAATCTCATGGTTAGCTTCATTGATGGTTTGGATCCAATTGACATTGCATGTCCCCCTTTTCCTACCACCGCCCTCTTCCTCCAGCATCATAGCCTGTTCGTTTGCCATGCGCCTTCATGTCATTCCCAACCTATGACTATCTATATAAATAAAAATGTAATGTTCGTTTGTGGGATTAACAGAACTCAAAAACCAGTGGGCCAATTGACACCAAATTTGGACACAAGACACCTAACAACCCAATGTATGTCCTTCACTCAAAAAAATTGATTTTGTCATTTGGGAGTTGTAGTTGCTGGGATTTATAGTTCACCTACAATCAAAGAGCATTCTGAACTCCACCAATGATGGAATTGAGCCAAACATGGCACACAGGACTCCCATGACCAACAGAAACACTACAAGGGTTTGGTAGGCATTGGCCTTGAATTTGGGAGTTGTAGTTCACCTGCATCCAGAGAGCACTTTGGACTCAAGCAATGATGGATCTGGACCAAACTTGGCACGAATATTCCATATGCCCAAATATGGAAACAGATGGAATTTGGGGGAAATAGATCTTGACATTTGGGAGTTGTAGTTACTGGGATTTATAGTTCACCTACAATCAAAGAGCATTCTGAAGCTCATGAATGACAGAATTGGGGCAAACTTCCCACACTGAACCCCCATGACCAACAGAAAATACTTAAGGCCATCCAGTCCAACTCTCTTCACCAGGGCAAGAAAACGTAATCAAAGCCCTCCTGACAAAGATCCATCCAGCCATAGATATAGATAGATATATATGATTCACACACAGAGAGAGATAGAGTATCATAGATCTGAAAGATAGATAGATAGAGATAGAGATAGAGATAGAGATAGAGATAGAGATAGAGATAGAGATAGATAGATAGATAGATAGATAGATAGATAGATAGATGATAGATAGACCAGTCAAGGTGGTCCCAGTGGTGATCGGCACACTGGGTGCAGTGCCTAAAGACCTTGGCCTGCACTTAAACACAATCGGTGCTGACAAGATTACCATCTGCCAGCTGCAGAAGACCACCTTACTGGGATCTGCACATATCATTTGCCGATACATCACACAGTCCTAGACACCTGTGAAGTGTCCAACATGTGATTCAATTCAACAGCCAGCGGAGTGTCTGCTGTGGACTCATCTTGTTGTGTTTCAAATAATAATAATAATAATAATAATAATAATAATAATATCCATCATCATATCATGATGCTTTCCTGGTCAGGTTCAAAAATGGCTTGTTATTGCCATTCTCTGAGGCTGAGAGAGTGTGACTTGGTGGTACATGCACTGGTCACATTCCCTACGAGTGCAAAGGCAGGGCTTTGATTCAGTTTAACCAACTATAAACGACTCTCCCTCCCCCTTTGTTTTGTCTTTGTGTGTGCAACTGTTAAGCACATCCAGATCAATTACACAACACTCCAGACCCCGACACTCTTTGCTGTTGTGCAGCCT